GAATTTCTTAGTCACTCGATGAGATTCGAACGAGCTGGAAGCATGAATTTCTTCAAAGATTATCATCCATCCAGAATAATCACAAGCAATGTTGGATCGAAAGTCCACATCTCCTAACAGATTTTGCACGGAAACAAACAGAATCTTTCGCGCAATTGGCAATTCTTACTGATGAAACAATACGGGAATGCTACTAACCACAGCTTTGGTTTGCTCTCTTAATTCTCCACAATCGTCACCTTTCTTGTAGTTACGCCATATGGTTTTCACCTCTTTCTGCTCTTCGTCAGGCATCTCCACGACAAACGGTGGCAGTCCACATTTTTTGCCCTCCTGAACACAAACGATTCATAAGTCGGATCACAATTGGAGTATTCACTCGAATGGATCCAATCTAGTCAAAAATATTTACTATCGTTACTTAGTACAAGCGATATTGAATGCCTAATAACAGATGATGAGAGTTTTAAAGATAATCAAGATCTCATCACTGGATTTGAAAGTGATAAGTAGTGTTGGCTTAGAGGAGATAATGGTAGCTTTTCTCTAGATTCGTGTGTTTACTGGTTAATCAGCTTGTTTGGTCAACTCCTTGTCTATTCCGTTCGTTTCTTAGTAACAATTATCCAACAGAGGCTGTCATGGATAGGAGTCATTTCATTTCATGATCCCCTAAGAGATCATTCACTGCCATGCGAATTGCTGAATGAACTCGTGAGCAATGCTAAGTTTGACTGTCGATAAACGAAGTAAGTCAATTCAACTACTCACTTTTGCGAGAGTTACGGCCAGTAAGCAACCGACGACGACTAAAATGTTCTTCCACGAATGCATTATTGCCCTAAATTTCTGCTTGATTATTCGAAAATAAACATGATCATGAGTCAAAAGCACGAACGATAAACGCGAAAATGATACAATTGGTGTTCGCGGAACATATGCCATTGCAATTCTAGTATCCAAGAGTAATACCTTAATTCTCACCACAAATACCATTGAAATACGAAACGTTTTCATTAGGCAAAATTCAGCGATGACAAGGCCAATAATAAAATATGTAGAAACGGATTCATCCAATCAGCAAAGCGTTTCATAATTTTGAAGCGTTTCTTTTACAATTGAAAATGCTCTAATTCTCACGGTTCTAGACCACATCAATTGCATCGTATTTCGCCTTTCATTGTGCCTCATTTTGTTGAGTTAATAATCATAATTCAATACAATGTTATCATATTACACATGTATTTCGATCAAAAATCATTAAAAACATTTAAGCCAGTTTTCATCGTGGTACCGAACACATCAAACCTCAACACAATTATCGGCAAGAATCAAACGAGACATGCATAAAATGACACAATCCTGTCCCATGAACTAATCCACAACACAGTGAATGTTTATCATAGCATTAATAAACGATAGAAAAACGATAAACCATGTGAACAAGGCGATACATAGGAAGGAAGGCAATATCGTCGAGACGATAATATGAAAATAATTTATGTCATTCTTTTGCAATAATTAGGTCTTCTTTTGCAACAAATGTCGTTTGTTTTAACAAAATTTCAAGATCTGATCAGGGTTATGTGCTCTGAACAAGTCAGTTTTCGTTTCCATCAACCAACTCACATCTTCTTCACACATACATATATATATAATCGACAATAATCACTTGGAACCAGTTTTTTGAAATTGCTCTGTGAAACAACAGCCGCTCCACACATCGACTGTTCACTGGTTGGTTTTTTTGGTTATTGCTGTTTCAAAACTCATTAGAAAATGATTCAGCTGTTGGAAATTCCGTCTATTTCATCTGCTCCACTGATAGAACTGTGAATATTTGTTAAATAACAAGTGAAAAATCAATCCATCAGGTGACTGTGAAAAAAGAAAAGAGCTGCCACATGCGCACTACAGCAGATTAATGAGAGTTATTGGAATATTAATGATGTTGTTGCAATGAAACCCAAAAATGACTAATCAGCGAATGAACAATCATACGGGGAAATAAATCGCTGATCAGAGAGCATCTCAAATGCTGAAATTGTAAAAACAATTCAATGAATCATACCTATACAGGAAATTTAGCTTCACTCTTTGACAGCTACAAAAAATTAAGAAATAAATGGCAATTAATAAGAAATGGCCATATATCTTTATTTGTTTATTTCTAAATGTTCTTCACAAGCACGTGTCCATTGAATGTGCACACATCTGGTGTTGTGAAGCAATGGTATGTGAAATTTAGAAATAATTTGGAGTTTTTCTTATAATTCCTATAGGATGAAAGAAAGGAATTGTTTGAATAGCAATGAATAATGAGGATAACGCGATGTTGCCATGTATTGTATTTGCATAAAGGATGAACAAGCGATTTGCTCGGAATGAATAACATCGTGAAACTCAATGATCACTTCAATTCCCTT